CACCATCACCATCACCATCACCATCACCATCACTATCACTATCACTATCACCATCACCATCACCATCACTATCACCATCATTGAGGATATAACCAGAGCGCATCAAGAGTTCTGCTAAAGTCATGCAGTTAGTTAGTTCAGAGACAGGGCTAGAAGACAGAACAGTCTGTTGGTTCCTAGCCCGGTGGCCACACCCTCACCATGCCTAGTCTGGCAGCTGATGCTGAGAACACTGTCTGGGACAGGCAGACCTTCCCTGGCTCCCAGGAGGCCAGGTCTTTGCTGAGCCATTGCCTCTAGGGTTGCTGCCCATCTCCCTGCTCCCCAGTTCCCTCTAGCAAGTCTGTATTAGCCAGACTCATCATTTTAAAATCATTTTTGGACCTGATAGTAAATCATGTAATTTTTTTTGGCCTAAACTGATAAAGATGCAGACACTTTGAACAATTCAGTTTAGATTAGTTTTGACCAGTGTATTTCAAAAGGGAGGTAAATAACCATTTCTGTTTTATATGACCACTAGAGGCCCAGTGAATTTCCAAAGGGAATATGTGTTTTATATGACTACTAGAGGCCCAGTGAATTTCCAAAGGGAATATGTGTTTTATATGACTACTAGAGGCCCAGTGCACATTGAAAGGAAATTAATTAGAAGGTGGCTGGCTGGGCGGGACTGGGTGAGATGGGCTGGACATGCTCTGGAGCCAACCTCCTGTGGTCCCTCCCCGGCCTGCCGCACCTTGGGTGGTGCCAGGGCTCGAAGGGAGTCTGCAGAGTGAGCCGGGTCCTGGGTCCCTCTGGCAGGTGGGGGTCCCTCGGCCTGGCCTGCAGGGATTGGGCCAAAACCGGCAGTCCGACATCCCCTGAGGGGTCCCAGAGTGCAAGAGGGCACTTTGCAAAGTTGCTGTCGCTTGGCAGCTCCTGCGTTGAGTGTGTGCCCCCTGGTGGTCAGTGCACGTCATACTACCGGCCAGTTGGCAGGTCACTTAGCCTTTTATATATAGAGATATTGCTGTAATAACATGGATGGCCATCAGACACTGCATGAGTGTGAATATCAGTGGAGTACAGCTCCCCTGGGCCTGCAGGCTTCACATCTATTGATACATAGTTGCCAATTGCTTTGAAAACCTTTGACCAATTTACACGTCAGCCATTCATAGACAAATTCAACCACTTTGCAGCAACTCTGCCAGCGTTTCTTTTACTGTTCCTTGAAAATGCGATCTGTGTCTTGCTACGTGGTATTGAGATGCTAATCCTAATTTGCCTTCCTTGGTGACTAGTGAGGCTGGATGTTGTTCATCGTCTCTGGATGTGACGCTTGCATTTGTTGGTCTCCTAGGACAATGGAGGAGGTGTTCCTGAGCCTGGGGCCCGGCTGGTTTCTGCTGCTCCTGCAGGGCCACCTGCACCCCAGCACCACTGTGCTGGGCCTGAAGCTGCTGCTGCACTTTCTGTCAAGCCCCGCCCTGCGCGAGCGCTTTAAGGACGGCCTGCCTGCGGGATCCTGGGTGGAACACTGTGCAGAGGGCGCGGACATCCTGATGGGTGCGCATGTCAGGAACAGGGAAAGGATCCTGTGGAGCATTGTCTGTGCCCCTGTGTGATGGCGTGTATTCCGAACCGGCATTTCTGGGGGGAGTGGGTGGCAGGGGATTCCCTCCTGTGCCAGTCCCCACCGTGGCTAGAAGCAATTGCATTGTTCTCAGTGGCATTGTGTGCCCCTTCCGATCCTTAGATAACCTGAAGAGCCACCCTCCTGCGCCCGACCAGGGCCCCTGCCTGCTTCCTGGATTCCGGGTCTTGAATGACTTTCTGGCCCACCACGTTCACATTCCGGAAGTCTACCTCATCGTGTCCGCCTTCTTCCTCCAGACGCCACTCACAGAGCTGACGGGTGGACCCAAAGTAGGTCCTTGGGGCCCCCAGGGATGGAGTGACACACTGGGTTTTCTGCTGCCACATGACTAAGGCAGTTCCCTCAGACTCTCCATTAGCTCGCTCCAAATCTTCCTGCTTCCACTGTCCTGACCCATTCTCTCCCCGGCTGCCACACCCCTTGGCTGGCTCTTCAGATACCCTTGACCTCCTCCACCTCTACCCCATCCTCCTCCTAGCAGCTCTCCGTTCTCATCAGTCCACTGGTGAATTGTTCTCCTTTGGGCACAGCTAGAGAAACCCATGCTGAAGGCGGGGGAGGGGGAGGCCAATTGCTGCCGCCACAGATCAGAGCCTGTCATGCCTTCACCTTAGGGGTGCCCCTGGTACTCCCCGGTATTCGAATACAAACCTTCCATGTGCCGAGTCTCCTGCCCCACAGCTGCCCAGCTCCCTCCCTGCCGCCCTCATGCTGGCATCCTCCTGAGTCACCTCCCAGCAAGGCAGCTGCCTTGTGCTTGCCCAGCCTGTGCCTTTAATGAGCTCGCCCTCCCAGGTCACCTGCCTCACCCCCTCCAGGGGGAGCCGTCCTGCCAGTGCCTCAGCATCCTCTGCCATATGTGGCACGGACACATTTACACGTCCGCCTCTCTCTTTAGGTGCTGAGTGCCTGGACAACAGACCCGCCTTTACTCGCCTTCTTGGGTCCCTGGCAAATAGCAGCATCAGAAATTGTCTCTTGGTCTTAACCGAGTTGAGTTGAACTGCCCTGAATTGAAATGGCGAGCGGTCATAGCTTTGCAAACAGAAGGCTGATCTAAATCTTGATATATAATAATAGTGGCACAAAGCCCACCTCCACAGCAGGGTCTGCACGCTGTGCTAAGTTCACAAAACCCTGCCTTGTCATCGCTCCAAGGATGTGTCCAGGGAACAACTGCTGCTGGGCGTCAGGAGCCTTGGGAGATATGTGCCTCACCTGGTGTTTATGACCACCCTGTGGGGCTGACAGTGCAATTTTTATTTCACGGAGAGGGAAACGAAGGTGCAAGGGCTGGAACGGCTTCTGCAAGCCCATTAAAGAGGCAGAGTCAGGCCTGCCTGCAAGGATCCTGACCTTCCCCTGAACTGGAGCCCTCACGCGCCTTCTCTAGTCTCATTGCAAAGAACCAGTGACCTTGACTGGACAGTATTTGTGGTGTCAGACCAAAGAGCTAAACTCAGCACAAGTGGCTAACGGGGTCTTCAGTACCTTCTTGGACGTGCGTGTTTCCCTCAGGCACCGAGCGGCTGAAATTCCCCCAGCGGCCGCCGCAGAGGGGTTTGCTGTCCTGTCTTTCTGAACGGGGCCCATGGGACACTCCGTGCACTGGCGGGTGTCTCTGCAGCCCTCCTCCTCTTTCAGGACAGCCTGGACGCCACGCTGCAGGGGCTCCTGCGGGCGCACCGCGCAGAGGAAGTCCTCCGGGCCGGGCTGTGCACGGAGGGGGCCCTGCTGCTCCTGAGGATGCTGAAGGCCACCATGAGCCGGGTGAGCCCCTTCCACACATGCCGTGATGGGGGGGGGGTTGAGGGGGGCAGACAAGGTTGGAGGGATAACACTTATGGAGTTATCCCAGCAGTGTCCAAGTGATGGCAGCCATTAGAAGTGTTATGCAGAATCCTTGATAGAAGGGGCAAGGCGGCTCTGGGATAACTCAGGTGCACAATGGGAACCAGCCGAAATGTTTTCAGTGCAGTGCAGCCACTCTCGCCAAAAGCCTTTTATTTCCCACTTGTGTAGTCGTTTGACTTTCTTCACTGGGGGATGCATGCGTTCATCAAAGCGAGCGTTTCTGGGTAACATTTTCCGTCAGGAGCTGTGGGGCCCTGTGGCGGGGAGATGGGCCGCTCCCCTCAAGGAGCTCACCTCTGTCTGCCCGGCCTCCTGGCCTGCAGCCACCTATGTGTGTGTGTGTGTGTGTGTGTGTGTGTGTGTGTGTGTGTGTGTAGGGGGGGGGGGGTTGCGATGCCTGGAGAGCCCTCAGGCCACCCAGGGCCACCGAGGTGGGAGGAGAGGTTATTTAAGACATGAAGGCCACTGTCAGCTTTTGATATCAAAATTATACTAGCTTTATTTTAAAAACTCCTTGTTTACATTTAGGAATATATTAAATTCATAGTTTTTATATTATTTAAATTGTTTATATAAAACTTCTTGGGCCTGATTTTTTTTTGTTTGTTTTTGACTTTTTTAGGCTTTTAAATGTCTCCTTGACCTAATTTAGGTAATTTATAATTTTAAAAAATCTTCCCAATTATTTAATTTGCACAAATCATCTCTTTTAATTCATTTAATTTTTGTGGTTACTTTCTCCTTCTTACTCTTAACTGATGAGTTCACACTGTCCTCTGCCCACTCCTCCCATTACTGGAAAAACCGAGGGCCTGTGGGCTTATTAAAGAGCCGATCATCCTCCGGGTTTTTTTCTGGCTAGTTCGAAGGGTTTGATGTTTGGCATCTTCATTTTCTGGGTGTTTTCTGGAGTTTCTGTGCTGCAGTTTGAAAGGCCTCAATTCATCTTTTTCGGTGCCCACGTGGTTGAGCTGTCTGTTTCGTTGTGGTTGCCCATCTCGGTTTGTTGGGTCCTAGTCAGAGCATGTGATCTGCACGCTTCCCGTCTTTGGGAGCTATTCAGAGTTCCACCACAGGCCTAATGTCACGATTAACCTTGGGTGCCTGGAAAGATGTATTTTCTGTTTGCAGCATCAGGAATCTGTTACCTTTCTAACCAATTAGTTTCATTTTTTAAAAAAGCAAAACAAAAGAATTAACATGAAAGCATTTAAAATAAAGAAAATACATGGCATGCTGAGAGAAGTAAAAAAATAAGACCAAAGATTAACATTATAATATCAAACATAAAATGGTTCACTGGTGTGTTACAGGAGTGACTTGCAGATTGGTCAGTGAACAAGACCCAACCTTCTGAGATCTAAACACGTGACAGAAGCAAAGCCACTCACGGCCGTTGGGTTCAATGAAGATGTCTGTCATTAGACCCTCATGTGCCAAGTACAGTAGACAAGCACCAACATATAAAAGGCAAAAACCGAAGGATAATAGAAAAAGACCAGAAACTTAATTGTAGAGACTAACTCTAGCATATCTTTCTCAAAGTTTATTTTCTCTCTCTTATCTTTTTTATATTATTGTTTGCTCGGAACTTCACTTGGTTTGACATCATTCCCCTGCCCATTGGTAACTAACCCACCACAGGGTAGTCTGCCTCTTGTTGAATGTGATAGAAATGGAATTGGAGAGTATGCTTTCTTTGCATCTGGCTTCTTTCACTCATCCTTATGTTTGTGGGACTCACTTGTGATGTTGTATGTGTCAGTAATTCATCCTTGTTTATTATTGAGTAGTATTTTATTGTGATAATTGATCACAATTTATTTATCTATTCTTGTGAGTGTTTTTTTTTCTTCCATTTGGAAATAGGAATAAAGCTGCTTTGTACATGTCTTTGGGCAGACATACGTATTTTTTCTGTTAGAAATATGCCCAGGAGTGACATTGTGGTCCGTCAGTTGTGCACATGACTTGCTCTAGCAGATAGCACCAAATAGTTCTCCAACGTGACGTGCCAACGGCACTCTCACCAGCTGCTACTCTAGCTGGAAGGTTCCAGTTGCTCCACGTCTCTTCCAATGTATTGCATTGCTGGCCTCTCAGATGGTCGGCAGTCACCGCGTGCAACAATCCTTTGAAACAGCGTTATCTCCATTGTCTAATGTAGAAACAGCGGTGAGGTTAGCTCACGCAGGCAGGGTCGTGGAGCAGGGGCATGTGACAGTGTGTCCAGCGCTAGCCCTACATTCCAGGTCACCGCATTGCCTAAGAACCTTCAGGGGTCCTGGTTGTCCAACACACAAAATCCAAGTTTCTCTTCTGAAAGTTCAAGTCCTCTCCCAGCTGCTTCTGCTCACCCTGTGCTAGTCACTGGGAAGTAACCCCGAGGCACCAAATGTCTCATCCAATCCTCACAACAACCAAATGAAATAGCTCATGTTACAATCCTTGCTTTACAGAGTTGGGACTGGAGGTGTAGGGGAAAGGGACTGGGCCAAAGCTACACTGTCAGTAAGAGGCAGAGGCAGGATTCGAACCAGGCATTGAACTCCAGAAACCACTCTCTGAACCTGATCGCTGGTATTCCTCTGGAAATCAATATTTCGCTCTTAGGACCTGGGGAAAAGCCGGGTGTGGGGGCCCCAGGAGCAGTTTCTCTCTGCTGCCTGCTCAGCCCATACCAAACCCTTGCAGGATCCAGTTTAAAATCAGGTTTCTAGCTGCCCCATGCCCATTGCCTTTCTTTCTATAAGTAGGCTTGAGTGTTCTAGTATGAGGCTCAGTTCCAGGCACTCGGTATCTACTTGTTAAACAGGATGTCTGGCGCATGCACACAGGCCAGGTCTAGAAGCAGCTCCTGGGAAATGAGGCAGCCATGGATGGGAGGGGCGGGGCTGAGCAACTGGCCAGGGGAGGACCCGACCTCCACTTAGCGCAATCACAGGAGCAGGCTGAGCACCCTCCATCTGGTTGTTGGCTTGGCTCTGCAGGGTGGGTCAGTTTTCAAGTTGCAGGCTGTCCATCACGCTAGGGCAGGCCCTGAGGCAGCAGCTGGACAGTCTGGGGCTGGAGCCAATCTCCAGACAGAGTGACTTGGCACAGCCAGTTTAGGGAGCTGAGCTCCGGGGACACTCGTGTGCAGCCAGGATGGAGACTCAGCCGTGTGACCGAGGCTAGGTTATGGTGGTGGTGGTGTGGAGGTCCCCAGGTCCCTCTGGGGACTGGATGTTGGCTCAGTAGATGATCCATTCCAGATCCCTGGCTGGTGGGGAGGGGGCTACTCAAGTTCTGCCAGTCCTGGGAGCACATAAGCCAAGGCAGGGTCTAGCGCTGGGAGCAGACAGCTGGGCTCTGAAAGGCTGAGGCCGACCCTGATTGGCAAGTTCCCCGAGCACAGAGGCCACGCCGAGTCATTAGAGGCCATTGGACATACGGGAAAGAGAGGCAGGGTCACAGCGCCTGGCTCGGCTCCTTACCCACCGGGACCTTGGCAAGCTCTGACCGCTCTGCCTGTCTTCCCATCCGGGAAGTAGGGGTAAATGCGGGCCTGCCTCAGAGGGTGGTGAGAGGTGAAAAGAGAGTGTGAAGCCGCAGACCAATCCTGTGCATGTGAATCCCTTCCCCGGGTGGTGCCAGGGCCCGTGTCAGTCGTCTAGGGGCCTGGCAGTGAGGTGTCTGAGAGTCTCGGAGAGCAGGTCTCCTTCCTAGACTCCCAACCCTCGGGCTCCCACACACGCCTCACCCAGTGCCTCTCAGCCCCCGACAGGCCTTGGAGACGGCGCCGGGGAGCACCAGTTCCCGGCCAGCGTGCTGCAGTTCCTGGGCCAGGTGCACAGTGCCTACCCTCAGGACCCTGCCTGGCGGGCCCCGGAGTTCCTCCAGACCTTTGCCGTCGTCACCTTCCCACTGGGAACAAACAAGGTAGGACACGCCGCTCCTCTGCCCCAGTGAAATCAGGGGCAAAGGGTGTCATCCCTCAAGAGCAAAGGGCAAGATTGCTGCCGCCCCCAAATAAGAGGCATTTAAGGCGATGTGGTGGAACAGTGAGTCAGCAACTTTTCCTTTCTCAGCTGGAATGCAGCTTGAGGTCATTTAAACTCAGATTCAGTCATTTTTTCGAGTTGTTAGGAACCTCAGTCATTTGATGGCAGATCACGTCAATTCTATATGGAATTCCCTCCCACTGATAATGCGAAACAACAGACTCCGTCCCCAGTGGGTGCGTGTGGGCCAGACCCAGTGGGTGGGTGCGGGCGGACTGGAGGCCGGTGCTCCTCTGCTTTTTGTCCTCAGAACCCTCCTCCAGTCTGCAGACCGTGACTCGGGACTCCTTGAAGTCAGAGGGCGGCTGGGGGCAGAGGGACCGGCTGGGTCTTGAGGACGAGGTGTGAGTGTGGGGGTAGAAGATGCTCTGGGAAGAGATGTGAGAGAGTTTGAGGCAGAGCCAGGCCCAGGGATGCAGTGAGAGTCTGGGAGCCGAGAGGAGCGGGTGATGATGGGCGTGAAGGGCAGAGGCCTGCCGGTCACCCTCCTTGACGGTGTAGGAAGCTGAGATGGACAGGGAACGGGAGCTAGTGACACCCTCTGCAAGGCTGTCACTGCAGCGAAAGGAGCGGCGGCAGGGCCCGGAGGGTAAGGAGGGCGAGTGCAGACAGGCAGTGTTTGCTCCACGAGTGTTTGCTGAAGGACCAGGTGAGAGAGCGGAGTGTGTGCACCCTGACAGCCTCCACCCACTGGACACCCACAACAGCCCTGGGCCCGGTGCTTCCCACCCCGCTTTTCACCCTGTTGGCAGCCTGCTCGGTGGTGTGTGTTAGTCGGGGGCAGGGCAGGGAGGGGGAGAGTCACAGCGGGGACACGGCGCTGGCAAGGTCCTGTGGGCTCAGTGGGGGGCTTAGGACCTAGCCTAGCCTGCAAAACGTTGAGAGTGGAAAACATCACGGTTTCATGATTACTACGTGATGAGCCAAGATTTAAACCTCACCCATCTCTTGCCATAGCCCCTTCCCTACCCCCAACACTCTCACCATAAAGCCCATACCCTTTCTATCGCCATCAGTTTAAAATCAAATCAAATGGCCAAATAAAATTCAGGAGTAATTTGTTTTAATAAAAGACTAAATATAAAGACTAGATTTGCAAAAAGATAAAATGGTTTGTTGGGTTAATATCAACTAAAGTGATACAGCAGACAAGTAAGAGTAGGGAAAAAGATGCACTGGAGGGGTGGGGATCGGACCCCAGCCTCCGAGGCTGGGCAGGGAGGAAGGACAGCCCTGCAGGCTGACCCTCACCACCCCCCAAGCAGGTCCCCTGGAGGTGGCCAGAACCCTGAAGTCCTGACATGTTTAGCCTAGGTCCCCTCCTCTCCCCACCACAGTGGGCGAGCTCACCCTTTGCTGAGTCGGGGTTCCAGCTGGCTGGCTCTTCCTCCCTGTTCAGGGTCTCTGCCTGGGGGCGGGTCTGGCCCAAAGTCACCTCCCCGGCCGAGATCAGAGGAGCCAGGCTCTGACGTGGGCCCCTGGCTCCACTTCCAGCACGTGTCTCCACACCTCCTTTGCGTGTCCCAGTTCAAGTCTGCTCCAGAAGGCCTTTGTTGCACAGAAAATGTGACAGATCCACTTCATGCAGGAAGCTGGTGGCCAGAGCCTGCGGCCTGCTGTAAATTTATATGGCGTCTTTCCCTTTTGAGGCCGCGTAGAGCTAATTAATGTGGCCACCACCTCCCTAGGTGCCATTAAATCCATTTTATGGCTTAATTAAGAACGGCCACATTAATTTTGTGAATGTGCAAAGGGAGGTGCCAGCAGGTGAATGCTCTTGGAATGTCACTGGCAGGAACTGGAAGTCCCTGGCTGCGTGTCCTTGGGCATGTCATCTGCCTCCCAGCATCTCTGTTTTTCTGACGTGGCTGGGCTCATGGTGCCTGCTTCATTAATCTCCCTGTATTTTTATAAGTAAAAAATGAGCATGTGAAGGCCGGTGCCTCAGGGACTTGGAGGCCAGGACTTGCTGAAGCTTAGCACCTGTTTCCCCTGAGGGTCCTCCTGTCACCATCACCACAGCCTGGCTGACAGGACATGGGCCCCAGGAGGTGGGCCCAGCTGATGACATGTGCAGGGCAGACACTGTGGCCTGCATGGCTCTCTCATTGGAGCTCACCCGTCTCTGTGGCGTCCCTTTCGTATCTCCATTTGCTGCTGAGAACTGCGGCTCTGAGGAGGAGGGACTTGCCCAGGACAGGCTGGGCTTCTCTGCTAAGCCCTCAGGCCACGCGAGCTCCACGCTCCGCTTCTCTCCAGGACTCCACCTCCCTTGGGTTCAGGGACAGAGCAGGCACCCTTATGAGCCATGAACTCTGGGCAAGCCACCTACTTCTGCAGATCCTCAATTTCCTTGCATGTTAATGTGTTTGATCAGAATGTCACCCAGGCACCCCTCAGCAGTAGATAGGAAAGCACGTTGAGGCAGTGCGAGCCACTCACTCTGGGGTTCTCTTGTCTTTGAGGGGGTCACCACTGAGTTCGCCCAGAATGCCAGCAGCCCTGGGGCCGAGGCTGAAGGTGAGGGCATCGTGGAGGGTCTACAGGCTCCTGCCAAGTCCCACCCCACACGGAAACAGCTGAGGGTGTTCATGCAGCTCCTCTTGAGGGATCTCCTGCTTGCAGCTTCCAGCCCCAAGCAGTGGCTGCCGCTGGAGGTGCTGCTGGAGGTGAGTGCACAGCGGACGGCACTGTGGGAGGCCCAGCACCGCGAGGGGGGTGTGCAGGGAGACCTGAGGGCTGATCTCTTATGAGAGCTGGCTCATAGTCAAACAGCTCCTGGGAAAAGCGCTGTGGCGGGCTCCAGGACCTGCAGCCCCTGGCAGAGCAGGGAGCAGTGAGTGAATAGATGACCGAGGGCAGGTCTTGCAGGTTCCTAGCAGGAGAGCCTGGTGCAGGGATTGAATAGAAGTGATTTCTCAGGGCTGTTCTCACAGGGGGGCAGAGAAAGGATGCCAGGAGGATGAGGGAGAAGCTAGCCAGGAAATGGTCTCAGCCACAGCCTGGCCCCAAGGGGAGCACTGGTGTGCTATCTGCATCCCAGTGGTGGCCCCACCTTGAGGCACCTGCCAGGCGGTCATTGTTGGTGGGCCACCCTGACTTGCCTTCTTACCTCAGGAGGTGGGCATCGCCTCCTGGGTGAGCCAACTTGGTCAGCAGAAGGCAGTGCCTTGGAGAAGGGGCAGGTGTGAGCTGTTGGCAGCCCACACTCCCAGCAGCTGTGGTATTAGCATTCCGGCCAGGCAAGGGGACTCGGTAGACACTGAGTGGGTATGATGGCCGGGTGGCTACTGTCTGAGTTCTGGGTGTGATTCCAGGCTTCTCCAGACAATGCCACCAGCCAACAGAAGCGAGACTTCCAGTCTGAGGTCCTGCTCTCCACCATGGAAATATTTCACATGATGAGAGGAGGTGACGTGTCGATGCTCAGAGGTGAGTGGGTGACTTGCTCCTCACTGCTATGACACAAGCTGCTGACAGCTGAGCAGGAGAGCCGTCTCCTAGAGGAGGCCTGGGTCCTTGTGCTGCAGGACTCCTAGGAGCGCGGAAGATGCTCTCCGCAAAGCTGCAGTAAGAGCTCACTGGTCCTGCCTGGGGACCCCGGGAGCGCATGCTCACTTCTTTCCATGACATCTGCACCACCGGTGGGCCACTCGGAGGCAGAAAGGCCTTCTGCCCTCTGAGCTAAAACCACTTCTCCTCCACCTTCAGTAGAATTGTGTCCTCTTCCCATAAGGGAAGCTGAGATGTCAACTGCAGTTCAGCATCCTTCTGCTCGGCATCTTTGCACCTATGCCTGGGCACAGCAAATGTTTCTTAAACAAATGAACCCGGGTAAAGATGCTGCATTGCCTCTAAGAGGTTCAGGTTGGTGCTTCATTCATAAGCCTTAGTTCCAGGGCAGCCACACCTTCCTGATGAGTTTAAACATAGTCCTTTCTGTGGTCTCTGAGCCATGAATTCCTCAGTGACACAACTCATCTCCTCGCCTCACAGCATGGACACTCTGGACTCCTCCTCGCCTCACAGCATGGACACTCTGGCTACTGGCCTTTCTCCTGGGGTATCTGCAGTGTGGCAGATAGGGGTGGAAGGTGTGAGCTTGGGAACCCAGCTCTGCTCTTGGCTGTCACTGGCTGTGGTGTGACTGCGGACAGGTGCCCGAGCCTGTGGGTGAGGACAGCAATGAGGCTAACTCGGAGGGTTGTTATTAGGACTAGCTGAGATTAGAGCATTCACATCTGAGAACAAGGCCTGGCGTGTTGGTGAGCATGGACAGATGACCCACATTACAGCCTCCTCCTCTGCCTGACACAGCAGGGCCTCAGGTCACCACACAGTCTTCCTATTTGCCTTATGCCGCCGTGTGCCCCCACCCTCATTCCAAATGGCCACTGGAAGAGGCAGTGCCCCACACTTGCTCCCTCTCCACTGGGCTCTATCACTGACTACATTGTTCAAGGCCAATTTATTTGAATAGGTGGGTCTTCATTGGACACCTGTGGGTAAGCCCCATGTTCAGCACCCGGGGTACACAGAGGGCTACAATGGGTATGAAGAGTGAGTGAGATGTAGGTGGTGACCAAGAGGGATTAGAGATGTTGTGGAAAGAAGGCCACTCAGACCCTGAGGATGTCTCAGGCTCCGTCTGTCTCCTCACCTGACCTTGACCTTAGGCGATAAGGAGCCTCAGCCAAACTCAGAAGCTGCTGCTGCTCCTTCACTCACGATCATCACCCACTTCACCCAGAAGCTGGTAGAGAAGCTGTACAGTGGAATGTTCTCAGCAGATCCCAGGCACATCCTCACAGAACACATCATGGTGGTAAGAACCCGCTGGCCATGGTGGTGTGGAAACTGCCGACCGGTGTCTGTCTGACGTGCTGCTGCTGTGCAGGTGGTCCGACTGACCTGCGGTCCTCCCTAGAAACGGCCTGAGATGGGTGGGAGGAAGGAGCAGGACCTTCACAGCCCCGGCCGTACCTGGTGGCTGTGGGGGTCCTGCGGGTCCCTCAGGCCACCGGAGGTCCGTCTCAGTGGTCAGGAGCCACGGTCCCCTATGCTGGCACCTGAGCTCTGTCCCCCTCAAGACTCTATTATGATTGTTAGTTTCATCTTAATTGTTGTTATTCTTCATCAACAAAGAAAGGGGCAGAAAGGTCTTTATCTTCAAAAGTCAAATTTCATTTTCTGCTTTAGCGTCATGCTTGGGCCTTCCTGAAATCAAGACAAGAGTCTGTTTGTACCGAGCCCTGTTTTTCTTGCATGTGTACTCTCTCTCAGATAGATCCACAAACACACCCCTATATGCAAATGCGTGCAGTAGGTCCACCCTTAGGTGTAAGTGTGTGTACATGTGCACAGCTTCTTTACACGTAGACTCACACGATCTCAAAATTCTAGAGCTGAACTCTTTTTGGGTTCCTTTCCTTTCATCCTGGAAACCTTTCCATAAGTGGCCATTCGCTCTCTCCTCGAGGGCCCTGCTCGAGGAGCTCACCGCGGTCCATGGTGGTCCCAGCCGGTGGGATGCCTGCGGTGGTGAGGAAGCACTTTCTCTTGTCAGCACCTCCTGCCCTTGGTGTGTCCTCTGCCGAGGAACCCAGGAGGGCCCCCTCCTTCTCCTCCTGCCTCCTGGGGAGAGTGCAGTTGGCAGCCCCAGCGCCCCTCTGTCTGGGAGCTGCCTGTAGACCCCAGGACGGCTCCTGGGTGACAGCCAGGCTGAGACGCAGTGCCTGGCCAGGCTGAAAGTGATGTCTTCAGAGCTCTTTGCAAGAAGAACTCCAAAGGGAGCAGTAGCCCTGCCAGCTCTGAGAAGGTTAAAATTAGATCCTTGGGAAATAAAATTAGAGCCTTCGTTCAGTTGCTTTAACAAAGTCACAGACTGGGTGACTCAGCAGCCAGCAGTGACGCCTCATGTTCCCGAGGCTGAGAGCGCAGGCTCAAGGGGCAGCAGGTCTCCTGTCTGCTCAGGGCCCCATTCCTGGTTTGCAGTTGGCCATCTTCATATTGTCCTTACATGATGGACAGAGAGGAAGAAATCTCTCGCTGGTCTCCTCCTGTCCTTACAGGAATCCCACCACGAGGGCTGTAGCTTCCTGACCTAGTCACTCCCCCAAGACCCCATCTCTCATACCACCCACTGGGGATTAGAGTTTCAACATATGAAGTTTGGGAGGGGCCACCAACGATCAGCCCACAGCAGCTGCCAGTGGTCCAAGCGAACACTCAGAGCTAATGCCTCAGAGTGGGTGCGGCTGGGGCTGATGTGCCTTCAGGGTGTCTGGCCCGAGGACTCTCAGTGCTGCCCACATTTGCCATCCTTCTCTCCTGCTGGTGGCGCTCATAACTCTTAACCTCCGTTTGAAAGATGTGACGGATCTGAGAAGCAGAAGACAATGATAAAAATATGAATCTCAAATTACAGCATATTTACATAAAACTAACTTCATTAGTATAAATAATCACAGTACCCATAAAATTCTAAGAGAGCAATCTATAGCTAATGAATGACCTTCTAATAGACTGGAGGTTTTGCACACATTTTTTGTTTTATGAATTCTTTTTGATGAAGCCAAGTAAATGGATGGACCAATTAGTGTTAAGGCTGCAAACCAGGAGCCCCTACCTTCCCACCCAAGTGTCCCATGTGGGCCCCCTCCTTCCCCTTGTGCCTCCTGGGGAGAGTGCAGTTGGCAGCCCCAGCGCCCCTCTGATGGTACTTGGCTTTTTGATGAAGCCAAGTAAATGGATGGACCAATTAGTGTTAAGGTGCTCCTTCAGATGTACGGTGGCTCAGAGAGGGTCAAGTACCTGGTGTGAGTTTGATCCTTGCTGACCAGTTAGCCTCTTTGACCCTGAGCCTCATTATCTCTAAAGTGGGATAATCTTAGTGCCTACTTCATCGTTCTGTTAGGATGCTTAAACGAGGCGATGTGTGGAACCCAGTGCAGAAATGCTTAGCACGGTGCCTGCAATACTATACTACTAAACATGCTGGACAGTTAGTGACATGTTTTAATTAGGCACTATTAATAGTATGTTCTTATACACCGAGGGCCAACCTTCTTACCTATATTTCAGAATTCTCTGGTCCCCTGGCTATTTTCCATAATATGACTGTGGTATATTTAACATTTTTACACCAAATTTTGGTAAATCCAATGATTTGAATTGCCTTTTATTGATCACTCACTTAAATAGAAGCTCAAAGGTAGAGACCGTTGTCCCATTTGACTTTTAGATCCTGCCAAATTTTGAAATACAGAAAAGAATGAGCTTGTATCATTTTCACAGTTAACGGGGTCTGTTCCTAAAACCGTACAGTGCGCACAAGCAGGTCTGTGTGTGTTTATTTCATGACCAGGTCATTGAGAATGCCTCCTCACAAAGGGACAGCACCATCAGCACTTTATACAGCAGCCTGAATAAAGTCATCCTGTACTGCCTCTCCCAGCCCCAGCAGTCCCTCTCCGAGGGCCTGGGCCTGCTCCGCGTCCTGCACTTCCTGCAGGAGCACTGGGACATCATCTTCGCCACCTACAACTCCAACGCCAGCTTCCTGCTGTGCCTCATGCACTGTCTGCTCCAGCTCAGCGAGGGGAGGTAAGACTCCAGGAGCCGCTCACGTGCCCACTGCGGTCAGGGAGAAAGGAACCTGCAGAGGGGCCCTGCTGAGGTCAATAGAATGACAGAACCCTTTTGTCGATCTGGTTGTCTGAGTTATGTGCAATGTTTATAATATGATAGGTCTTCCTCAAACCTGTCCATATGACTGAGTGTCTAGAATCATCGTAAAATAATAATTTACACTATCTCCACAATTCTTAGTTGTAAGATTCTTCATTGATTTATTTTGGGGGCAGGAAACCCCAACATTAAATATGCACTTTGATTTTATGATGCAGGCAGATTTCAGGAACATTAACATTTGAGAAACCATAGAATGGAAAAACATAAAAGAAATTGTATTATATAAGCCAGGAATAATTTTGCTTATAGACTAAAATATATAGACAATTCATGATATAAAATAACAACCATAACTACACTTGTGTAAGAAATACCAATAACAAAAACTTTATCTCACTTAATCCTTTCCTTGAAGCCCCACATTTGGGAATGTGTTGGATTTCTCTGTGCACGTGCACTTGCTCTCTGTGTGTGGAGTGTGTGTATCCGGGCATCACCAGTGCCTGGTGCCATGCTGCCTGCAACTGTTACCTCATCAGTGGAGAGCCGTGCTGAGTGCAGAGCCAGAGAGGACTGTGGGATATTCTATTTTGCTCTTGTCCTTGATTGTATTTGTCCCAGTACAAGTTACGTACAAATTACTGGAGAAAAGGATCCCCAAATCCTGCCGAGTTGACTACTGAACATTACAAAACAGTTACTCTCTGGGAAGCACTGGAAAATGCTCCCAGCGCCCTGGACCAGAGGAGGCACCTGCCTTTTAGTTTGTTTGCAATAAAAGCATCCACTGTCAGTGTGTGGGTTAAATAGGGAGGCCTTGCTTCCTGTATTTGAGAACTGGCTCCTGTCTATACTGAAGGTGTAGGTGATAGAACGAGGTGCCGGCTGCATGTGTGCTTGAAGTCCCGCCCTCTGAACATCCTCTGTTTAGAAAGGGACTCCAAGATCCAAAGGGACTTCATTCTAGAAATTTCAAGAGTGGACATTGTCATATGCTGTATTTTTTCATTTTTTTTATTTGTCATTTTTGGTTCAATCCGAAAACATGTACCGAGTGTATGTTCTGCTTGGTGGGCTGAGGGACCCAGACGAGAGGACACATAGATATTCACATGACCAGGGGCCCTGGAGCACACAGCTCACGGGGAGCCTAGTATGTAAATCACCACGCCCCACTTAGGACCGACTCCAGGACGTGTGGGCCTGGCAGAGTGCAAATGAGTGCCCCTTCTTCAGAAATGACTGTGGTAACAGAGGAGTCCAAGCACGGGCCCTTCGAGTGTGGGCCTGTCATACTGCGCCGGCCACAGGCCCCTGGCGCTGGCCCAGCCCCATGCCAAGCAGGATGAGGTCAGGGCCACTCAAAGGCAGAGTTCAGTGCTGCAAAAAGAAATGACGGAGTCCAACGATGGGGAAACCAGGAGAGGGTTCAGGGGGGTCTGCTGGGAGCACAGAGTGGCTTTAATCAGACAGGAATAAAAGGCTGGTGTGTTTCCCCTTTGCCAGGATGCTATTGTATGATAGTTGTCTTGGACGTTGTCATACGCTCTTTGCTTGAACTTCCCCTGAGGGATCCCGGACTGTGAGAGGGTGAAGTCCGGGCTGGGGGACCCTCCCGGGTGCATGAATTTTCGTGCACCGGGCCTTTAGTTTGTAATAAAGAACAATAGTGCAATCCCAAAGAACTGAATTTCATCGGGAAAATCTCTTGTCTGCTAGTTATCCTGAAGGATTTGGATTGGAACCCAAGCCTAGAATGACTCCTTATCATCAAGTGTTTCTTTCTCCAAATGAAGACACGAGAGAGAAGAGAGTGGATGACTCCCCAAGTTTGACTGATGGTACATTTTATTTGCTGTTTATTTGGGGGGAAGTAGATGGATAGTGATAACTGCTAGGGTTGCATTCTTCAGTGTATCTTTCCCAAGATGAGGAAACATGTACGAAGGAGACATTCAAAGGCCAGAAAAATCCCTGAAAAATCCCAGAATGATGTAGTATTAAAGCAGGATAACCTGATGGGGAATAAAATTGGAGTGATTTTTGCATATTAAAAATGGAATGGCATGGGTGGAGGGATGGATGGAAGAAGAGAGAGCTCTAAGGGACTTGGTTCGACTAAGAACCAGAGGACCTCACAGTAAGTTGATTTCCCATCTCGGTGGGTCTCTTGAGTTTTCCTTTGGGCAACTAGATAGAGCGACTGGCATGCCATCCCAGTTCAAGCTGTTACGTAGCTGTCTCTTTGACCTTCTTCCCTAGAAAAATGGGGATGGAGGAAATAAACTCATTTCCTTCATGAAATATTTGGCTTAATGGAGGGTATGTTTGGACTTGCTAGTATCATGTCAAGTTAAAGGGATTGGCAGTTTGTAAAAGAATAACTAGCCTTTGGATCCGTGTGCTTGAGAGAGTGCTCCTCCGGCCAGGAGGCCTCAGCAGACCCCCTCCCACCACGCTGGCTTGCTGCCACTTACAGGGGATAGTTTGTGATACTAGAGGTAGGCACGGGAGCCTGTGTTCTGGTTAGATCGGTACCCAACGCCAGTGCTCAAAAATCGTGTGAATTTAAATTTTACTCTCACAGTGTTAGTGACAGCATGAACATTAGCACTTAGGGACTTAGCTGGCAGAGTGGACTGAGCAATGTCCATCCCCTGAGGCTGAAAAAGCAGACAGTAGAGGCTGGTACAGAGGGGGGACCCAGGGGTCCAAGGTCAGAGGGGCTTTAGGCACCGCCATGGGGTGACAGTGGTGGGGCAGAGCAGGCAGGGCGGCGTGGTAGATTTGTACATATCTGGGCAAATGCAGGCGCTGAGATGGGTGGCTGGTGGGGACCCTGAGCCAGTGCAGGAGAGGACTGTCTTGGGTCCTGGCGCCAGGGCACAGTCTGAGTTTGGGTGTCCATTCCTCTGAGAGGCTAATATAGGGCAGGTTGGAGGAGCTTTCTGGGGGAAGCAATTCCGTTACCGGGAGCTCTCACAGGCACAGCGTTAGGCATCTAACAGAATTGGGAGGTGAGAGAAAGAGGTTCCCTGGACCCATCAATCACGATTCCTAGCTCTGGACATGTAGGCCGGCAGGGCGTGGTGGTGGGAAGTTAGATGCAGGGGAGGGCCAGCTCACATAGATGTCGGTAGCATTGCAGAGCCAGGATGATGTTCAACAGGATGTGAATGAAAGCAGGGCCGGTGCACCCTCTCCGGAGGCGTCCGCTGACGCGCCCTCTCTCTCAGTCCAGCACAGCATCCAGAGGACCGTGCACGCTCTCTGGCAGCAGCTCATGGCGCAGAGATGGCAGGAGCTGGAGGACACCTTCAAGATCGATCTCTCCGTCAAACCCGGGGAGAGAGAAGTGAAGATGGACGAGGTCACCCCGCTCTGGGAGGAGACGATGCTCAAGGCCTGGCAGCATTACCTAGGTCTCTGTCACTGGGTTCAGGGCTTCCCCAGTTCCCTGGGCCGCCCTCATCCTTCGGGGTGGGGTTCACATACGGAACCCTCGTGAATCCTGGCTCACAAAGGTTAAACGCTGCTTTGCATCGCAGGTGAAGGGAAGACCAGAGGTGCCAAGCAAGTGAGAGATTCTAGAAATCTAGATGGGAGGGCCGCCAAGTCCGCGCTCACCCGGGGCCGCACTTGGGGGTCTAGGTCCTGCCCTGACAGTCACCAGAGCTTTGTCCTGCCCTGACAGTGCAGCCACCAGAGCTTTGGTTCCTGCGAGTTCCAAGTGGAAGTGTTCACCCAAAGATATTAGTGTCCCTCGCATTCTGTCAACGATGCAACGTTTTACCCTCATGCTCATCAGTGCGACCGTGAGAACGATGTTCTCATTTTGTTTTTAAAGAGGCCATTGCTGTCAAATTATGTCTCATACGTGTTTTACGTCTCCCAGCATCCCCGAGGTCACAGCCAGTGAAGAGCTGGTTATGTCCGGGTGTACTGTCCCGGCTCCTGGCAGTACAGCACCTCTTATTTCACTGGCTTCCCCCGCTAGCCCTGGCGAGTGTGTGTGTGTGTGCATACATGTACACTTTGAAGTCAAAATGTCAGACTCTATTTCAGAGAAAAGTTCACTTAAACAGGACACGCTTACCCTCTTATTCACATGTACACAATGTGGGAATCATGGTGAGCTGGACTGTACTGCTCACAAATGGCTCTCTTTTTGCCAACAACCATATTTTTGCAAACTTTCTATGTTTCAGGGCCTGTGTTTTAAACACATAATCTTATTTACTCTCCACGACACCACAAGGAGATCAGATACTCTTATTCCCGTTTCACAGAGGAGAGCACTGAGGCTTAAGAACTTTAGCTAACTTGCGCAGCAGTCAGTGACCTGTGGAGCCAGGGGTCTAAGCCGGGCGGGATGCGGAAACCTGTCCCGTATTTCGTAGTCAGAAGCCGGCGATGTGAGCTGCAGCCTGGGCTGGCCCCTATTGCAGTGCTGGCTGGCATCTGAACGCCCAGCAGCTGTAGATAGTGTGTGTCTCCTCTCAGTTTCCCCTCTGACAGTCTTTGCTTCCTGGTCCCCAGCATCTGAGAAGAAATCTCTGGCCAGTCGCTCGAATGTCGGACATCACAGCAAAGTCACTTCGTGGAGTGAAAGCTTGTCCTCGGCCATGAGGCTGATCCCGGGGCGGCAGGCCAAGGACCCCGAGTGCAAGACAGAGGTGAGCCACACCCCTTTCCTTAGAGACACAAGGCATTTTCTTCAGACCCCAGGAGCCACGCCCCTCTCTCTGTTGTCACTAGACAAATCTAACTCCATGCTCCTCCGTGCTCTCCCGGGCGCTTGTGGTTCCCCAGCTGAGGCCGCTTCCGGGGAGCCAGGTCTTGGGCTTTAATTTCAAGTGCACACGCCTCTCCTCGAGCACCAATAGCAGGTGTTCCTCATGACATTAAAAACCAAACGGAACTGCGACCCCTGCTCCTTGTCATGTGTGCACAGGCAGCGCTGGCCCACAGCTCAGCGGGCACTGGGTGTGTGGGCTCAGCGAGGGGGACAGGATACTGGCGCTGTCCCTGGCATGCAGGTTAGAGCCTCCTCCTAGGTGGGGCTGAGGCATTAGGGCTTTCTAATTCGTTTCTCCAAGGCTGTGTGGTACCAGCAGTGAGTTTGTGCGATCGTGAATACTGTGGAAAGGGATTTGGAGCATAGCAGGTTCCCGGGTTTTCTCTCCTCCCAGATGCCTGGGCCTTTTGCTCAACTGGTGGTAGCTGCTGACTTTAGGCTGAGACCTGAGCTGAGGCTGCTGGTCTGCCCACCTACAGCTTCTCCAGCTGTCCCGGGCTTCCATGCTGGCTGGTGGCTGGGCTTCCAGGATTAGCTTCCGTGGGGAGGGGAAAGGAGGGAGAGAAGGAAAGAGAGAGAAAGGGAGAGATAGATAGATAGAGAGAGAGCCTTCTATGACCTCACTTTGGAAGCTATGCAGCATCAACTCTGCCGGGTCCCTTTGGCTGAGAGAGGCACAGAGTTCTGCCCAGGTTCAAGGGCAGGACTACCTCCTGGTGAGGAAGCGGCAAGGTTCTGCGAGAGCGTGCAGGCTCTTTTTGGGAAACACATACACTGAGTGGCCAGATTATTATGACCACCTGACGTTTGTAGGCAAATTAGCTATAATTTCCCACTGAAGTTGCTAGAGGGCCAGATAAATGTCTGAATGGCATAACATACCTAAGTATCATTGCTGATCAAGTTCATCCTATCATGTTGATGGCGTATCCCAATGGAGATGGCTTCTTCCAACAAGACATTTCACCATGCAACGGTGCTGGTATTGTGCAGGAGTGGTTTCAAGAACATGAGGGAGACTTTGCCTTGCTTAGGTGGCCCCCACAATCACCAGATCTCAATCCAATTGAGCATTTGTGGGACGAAGTTAAAAGAGCCATCAGGCAGCTGGTTCCACAACCATCAAATCTCACAGAACTGGACAGTGCTATTCATCAGGCATGGTGTCAGATTCCTCGTGTCACCTTTCAACATCTCGTGGAGTCAATGCCAAGAAGAATCGCCGCAGTATTGAAGGCAAAAAGTGGCCCAGCGAGGTACTGATGGGGTGGTCATAATAATCTGGCCACTCATTGTATATTCTAATGCTGGGCTCACTGATCTTCAGAGGCTGACTGTGGTCATTGACTGGAGATGGCCGTAGGGAGGGTCAGGAGACCTTGGGCAGTTTACTTAACGTCCCTGAGTCCTTCCCTCCTCACCTCCACAACGGGACAGACAACCGTGGGAACCGGTGGGAAAGGGCCCCCAGGAAGGGGGGGTAGATCTTGACTGACACGTGACACAGTGTGAGCTCTCTGCCCATTGAACTTTGGAAAGTGAGCTTGACTCCAGATCCCACATGCTCAGAGTCTGGGCTCTGCTGTCCCCACGTGTCCACTGTGGTCAGTGACTCGTCTGGGGAGGAGTGAGGCGTGAAGGGCGTCCTGCACTTGCCAGCAGCACGGTTAGGGTTAGGGGAGTGTCTTTGCTCGGAGCTCCCGAGACGGGAGGCTTCAGGACATAGGGAGAAGCGCCGGACACGGAAGGGAGGCCAGGATATGAGTGTGACTGGGCTGTGGCCCCTGGGTTCAGAAGCAGGCTGGCCGCGTCCGAGCTCGGTGGCTTGTGGAAACACTGGTCAGCGAGTTGGTGGGCAGACTCCCTGGCTGCCTGAGTGAATAACTTACTTAGGTTTTGTGTCAGCTGCTGCTAGCACACAGCTCTCAGGAGCCCCACTTGCAGATGTGGAAACGGAATGTAAGTCAAGGGCTGCGCGGCCAGGAGGGGGCAGAGTGCAGGGGCCTCCCGTCCCGCCCGCCATGCAGGGCCTCAGGCCATGTCATGCCTTCAGAGCCGCTTGCTGGACGCACAGTGGGAATTCGCTGTCTACATCAGAATATGAGGAAGCACAGAAAACGGCAAGTCTCTGGAAATAGGAGACAGTTTACACACTTCCTCTTTACCTTAGAGCCTTCTCCACCAAGGGAAGCCCATCCCACACGGGCGTCGCTGCACTGGGCCTGGAGGCTGGAGCATCCCTGCTTGTGCCCAAGCATTTGCTCTGGACCAATGCACGGTGTCAGGAGGGACCCAGCCTCTCTTCGGTTCGCTTCGCTCCTTGACCAAGTTAGCACTGTCCCTAGGAGGCCAGGCCTGTCTGGCTTGGAGCCAGGGAAGGGACGGCTGGGCTTCTGGGCACAGACATGCATTTTATGGGGACCCTTGCAGGCTATTGATGCCGCCTCTTGCCAGTGCCAGGGTGACTCCCTCGAGGTCACTGCCATTGGCTCCGCTCAGCTGCCTCTGATTCCGGGGGAGGTAGGTTGAGAGACCAGCTCATTTGAAAGAAACTGAATAGGCCACACTGTTTGGAGCCAGGAGGGTCACAATGGCTTGGCACTGTTAACTCAACTCATGGAGAGATCTGGGAAAAGGAACGTTTGAAACTGGCTCTGTCTTTCTGTGAAGGCAGGCTGTGGAAGCTGTTTCTACACCAACTAAGGTCTCATTCATTCATTCATTCATTCACGTACTCAACAAATATTCATTAAGTGCTGACTCTGTGTCCGCTGTAAGCACCGAAGTTACAGAAGAGAAAAAAACGAACATATTCTCTGCTTTAATGGCGGCTGCTTCCTGGGGGGTGAAGATCTGCAGTAAACAGACGAATAAATTCATGGATGTGGGGGTGCTATTGCAGTGAGGGAAATAGAGCAGGGATGGAAGAGGGTGGCGAGAGGGTGCGGGCTGTTTGGATGGAGGTGGTCAGCCGCCCTTCCCGGCAGGAGGTGTGGAGCAGAGAAATAAGAAAGGACGTGAGCCTGTTACTCTCTGGGAAAGAGCGGTCAGGCCGAGGGGATCACCAGGCAAAGGCACCAGGCAGGCGAGCGCTGGGTGTCCTAAGGTGGAGGGGCTGGACGAGTGGAGAGGGACAGCCCTGGGACATCAACCCCGGCCGTGTTCCAGAAGAACTGGGATTTCTGCCTCGTGAGTAGCAGGGCTGGGTGACTTACGTTCCTCTCTGGTCGGGCACTCAGAAGCTTGGGAGCTAAATCGTGGCCCAACTCATAACTGCACGTAGTGGGGTAAACTTCTGCAAAACACATGTACACATACACACACATATGTGCGTGCACCCCCACACCGCTTCTTCCTTCCTATGTGAGCCCTGTTTGTTTCTTCTTAAACCTGATTGTGTATCTTTTCTATAGCTTATAACCTGTGGATTTTTAAAAGCCAAATTATTTTTGAAACAAAGTGGATTATGTTTTAATTTTAAAAATGAACTGCATCTTTGCTTAGCAGCATTCTCTGCCAGTAGCTCAGCCTGGGCCGGGCACAGTGCCTGCTGCACGGAGGTTCTTAGGGACAGTGCGGGGCCCACTCGGGGCTCCCGTCCTGGGCGGGGCTCACCGCGGCCCGCACTCGTCATGCCTCCGCACACGGAGCTGACAGAAGGCACAGCTTCTCAGGTACATATGTGCATTGTGATGTCATAGGATAAGAGCATCAACTATTTGCCCTGGGGTCTGTTTAATTATTTTTAAAAATTAATTTTGATTATTACAGCTGATTACACCTCAGTGAGCAATGTAATTGATATTTTCTAATGTATCCCAAGGAACATTTTGTACAACACGCTTTTTGTTGTTGAAGGTTAAAGACTCCGTTATTGGTTTTTCCCTAAATATGCCCACATCATCAGTCCCTCCAGCGAGGTCGCCATCTGGAAAAGGCAGCGGAGACATTACTCAGGCGCAGTGCGTGAAATTGGCGTTTCGGCGTCTTCTGTCTCTCCGTTGTAATTAAGGGAGCTGGTTTTGGAGGAAACATTATTCATTTGGTGTTACTCCTGATCATGTCAGCAGCTGACAGCTCCACACGCAGAGAAACTGTTCCTAAGCGCGGGGCACGCCTGATGCCTCTTGCTGCTGGGCTCCTGGCGGAAACATTTCTTCCGGGCGGCTCAGCGGGCGAGGCCACGGCCGGTGTGAGAGGCGCAGCCCCTTCTTCCTCTTCCCGGGCCCCTTCACGCCCCTCTGGGGCCCTGGTGACGAGGTCTCTGCCAGGGCACAGGCTGTGGTGCCAGCCCATTGGAGGTGGGGTCTGGGCTCTCCCGGGCGCCTGAGTTCCCAGCATGGAGAAGGCCAGGGCTCTGCCCGCATCCTCACTGGCTGGGCTCTGACTTCGCTCACCGCTCAGCTCCAGATGATATTGTTTATAATGAATTCATCAACAGCCAGTGCTGGTGTCTTAGTTTTGCCTCACACACCTTGGCAATGGTGTCGGTCACCATGGGAAACCGGGGAGGGGTGGGCAAGAGCTCCCTGTTCTATCTTTAGGGCTTTCCTGTAAACCTGAAGTTATTCCACAATATCAACTGTGTCATTGTCTGTTTCTCAGAGTTAGCAAATGGAAACAGTGCACAGACATGGGCACTGGGCCCGGGGGAGGGGCTGAGAGGGTGATGGCGCCTGGGATTGGTGGCGCGGTGGGTGCAGGAGAGCATGGGGTCCGGTGGGGGAGCCGTGGCCTACAGGTGGCGGTTAAGCAGGGGAGCAGCACGTTTCTGAATGTCCAGGTTAGACTGGAGTGAGGGACCCTGAGGGCGGATGGTCTGGGGGCTGTGGATCATTCCGTGGGGGAGGGGCTGCAGCCGTCAGAGCTGTGGGAGTT